AGACAGACAGACAGACAGGAACAAGGAATTGATGTGTGAGTACTATACTATATGGAGTGTTCAGGAAACATCTTACTATGAAACAAATTAGGGAGTTTTTAAATGAAGGGGGATGGAGATACCATAGCGTGGCTGGGGTGATGGGGAATGAATGAGATAAAGAGGGACGATGTGGAATCTGAACCAGATGAGGCATTTTAGGCCATCATAGGAAAAACAGAAAAAACCCAATAACAATAATTATTTACAACTGCTATCTAATTAGTTGACTTAATTATTTTATGTAATATGAAATACATAACTTGGAGTGAATCAAACTGCTAAAAATGTCTTCAAAAAGTGTTGAATAAACTTGAATTTTTATGTCATATAAGTGACATATATCAACAAATGTGTAGATATACCTTTGTTTGCAGTGGTCCCCACATTGCTGACTCTTGTTTAGCTTTGGAGACTGAGTCTCCGGCTTCTGAACACCTGCGACTTTAGGCTGACTACTCATAGAGCACTGTCACCTGTCAGTGGGCAGTGTGGGTAGACCTGCCCACACACTGTGATTCAGCTCGTCTTAAACCAGAATCCCGCCACTCCCACACACTGTGATTCAAAGACATTTTCCCCTTCCCTTGCCACAGGGCTAAAAATTACCACATATTTTAGTCCCCTGAGTTAAGCATTGGAGGTTGCTGATAATTATTTGACTACCTTTCAAGAAAACAGACAAAATAGCCCATTATCCATTAAAAAAAAATTCTCTCAAATCTAATTATTTGGCAAGTCATCCGCCACGCACTGGGAGAGCAGAACACGAGTAAGGTGTGTTGAGAGTGTGAATGGTAAAGGCGTGAACCCGACCTTCCTGTAGAAGTTCTCCTGGGGCAATCCCTGAGCAGCCAGGAAACAGGAGTGCACCGACATCAGAGGGACGTGTTTAATTGGTACACTCATGACCTAAGGTTTGATCTGCTCAGAGAATGAATACACAGGTCTTAGGCTATGGGTGGACCCTGGAAGCAGAAGATCTGGGTCTTTGGGTAAGTCATGTCACATGTTACAAGGCTGGAGTGCCAGTCTGAAAACTGTACATGAAATGCTTCCCGAGGTGATGAATAAAGATATGTTGTAGCACTCCTATAAGTCACAACAGCGTCTCCTGGACGTCAAAGCATTTCAGGGTAGCAGCCAGCTCGGTCTCTTGAAAGTAGTATGCTTAAAATAAGATTTTCATCCCTGAATCCTCTTCTGAGTATTTCTTCCTAGTCATTATTTTCATCAATCTCACTTACAGGCATGCATCACCACTAAAGTATTGAATATCACTAAGTGATATGCGAACCTTAAATGCATGACGAGGACAGAGTCATTGCAATAAGGTTGTTTCTATGAGAAATATGGGGAGATGCCAAAAATTCAAAGCTGAAAAGTAAGTTCGAAGATCTCTTTACCACCCTCTGAAAAGAACAGAGGAAAATGAATTAAGACTTAAAGAAGCTAAGTCTAGCTCTGGGCTCTCAAAGCCTAATGGAAACAGTTGGTCGCGGGACCTTTTCTTTTCTTTTCTTTTCTTTTCTTTTCTTTTCTTTTCTTTTCTTTTCTTTCCTTTTTCTTTTCTCTCCTCCTTCTCTCCTCCTCTTCTTCCTTTGATTTAAGATGTAGGTTGCTGATGATTATCGGAATATCCTTTCTTCCTTTTTTTTCTTCCTTCCTTCCTTCCCTTCCTCTCTCCTTCCCTCCCTCTCTTCCTCCTTCTCTCCCTCTCTCCCTCCCTTCCTCCCTCGCCCCTCCTCCCACCTCTTTCTTTCTTGTCTACACAGCCTGGTTGTCCTGGAACTCTCAGAGATTCAGATGCCTCTGCTCCCCCACCAGTGGTAGGATTAAAGGCTAAGAACCTGAACCAATAAATATTTTCTGATCTTTCATTCCAACTGTATTGACTCTCATATCATATAGTATACAGTAAATATATTCATATATTCACACATCTATGTGATTTATAGAATGACTTTAGATTCAAAGGATACATCAGAGTTTCACGAATGGACAGGACAGAAAGAAATGTTAATGAGGTCTATGTTGATTGATAGGAACTCAAACCAGCCCCTAGAAAGAAACCACTACACTCAGGCTAGGAGAGTCATAGCAGAGACCAAAGATCAGAGCCCAGCTGGGGTTTGCAGCTATACCCAGAAGCACAGATTTCCTTCTGTCTCAAAATGAAGCCAGAAAGTCTTGGTCAAATAAAGCCTTATATGGTGAGACACAGCCTGAAACCTATTGTTTCATACATCGTGGAGTAACACTGTTCAGAGTTGCCTAATTTCAACAAATAAACCAGTCATATCAGAAACTAACTTCGGTGATGAAATAAAGTTCACAGTAAAATGAAGTTAATCAGATCAGAGCTTCTTTTTTTTCCCCTCAAAGTTTATTAAAATACAAAAGTCTCCATTTCTGCCCCTGCTCCCAACACCCTCCCACTCCCCCCACTCCCTCCTCTCCTCGCTCTCCATCCCCAATAGCAGTCAGGGTCTCCCGCCCTGCGGGCAGTCCAAGCTCCTCCCCTCTCCCTCCAGGTCCAGGAAGGTGAGCATCCAAACAGAGTGGATCCTAAAAATCCAGTATATGCAGTGGAAACAAGTCCCAGTGTCATTGTCGATGGCTTTTCATAAAGACTCCGGGCCAGCCACAGTCAGAGAATCTGACCTCAATCAGAGAATCTCAGACCAGAACTTCCTAAGGTCCAATCTGAACATCAAACATGTATTACTAAGTAAATACTCTTGTGTGAAAGAAAAACATCAGTAGTCAATCAAAGAATTGTTTAAAATTGCATAGTAATGAAAACACTACATTCTAAACTGTGTGAAGACAAAGCTCTGCAGAGATATTTACACTGTTAAGTATATTAATCACAGAAGAAAGTAAAAAGAAAACCATCAAAGCAAACATTCTGAAAAGGTAGGTGCCTACTGACAGAATGATAAGGCAGCTCTCGTCAAAATAAGGTGAGAAAGACCTCAACTAAATAACCATAAAGCATAATATGAGCCAGGGAATCAAATAGCACCTAGTCTCTAGGATTACTAATAAACAGACAATTATCAGGCAACTGATCACAGAAATAGATACAATTTAGAGATGCATAAAATCTAGAAGAAAACTAAATGACTATGGACACTATATTGATCTTAATTATAAAAGGAATACTATTAGTGGCTACGTGAAAGCAAGTCCTAGAAATCTAATAGAAGTATTCAAAATTTCAGAAATTTTATATGTAAAAAATATAAAAATTAATGAAGTCCAAAGTAGAAAAGTTCGACAGGCCATAGCCTTCTAGTGAAATCCAAATGGTAATTAACATGCATCCCATCTCTACAAAGGCATGCTGCGGAGCAAATGAGTTTGATTAATAAATTCTTGCAAACATTCGAGAAGCTGGTGCAGAATATAGAAACGGAATGGAAGTTTCCAACTTATTTTCTCTGAAGTTAATGTGACTTCAATATGAAATAGAAAATGAAAGTACAAGCCAAAACTAAGTAAGTCAAAGAATGATAGGCTCATATAAAGTATGAAGTGCAAAAATGAGAAAAAAGCCTTAAAATAGTTCATTTTGCTCAACTGGTGTTGACTACAGGGATATGATTGTTGTCCCGTATCAGAAAATGGATTCTTTTGTAAGTTGGTGACAGGAAATTAAAAAAGCCTCATTATTACATACAAAGACTGTGATTAGAATAAATACTTAGTTATGATCTATTTTAAATATAGGCATTTGTAGGGGGAAACTTCTATAGGTCCTAAAACTACAATAACAAAGCCAGGGTATTCAGAAGCACATAATTCATGGTGTGTTAGTCACATTGCCAGTTATGTGTCTTGGCACTGCAACCGTTAACATTGTGCCCTAGTCAGCTTTAAAAGAAAAGAATAAGAAATGGAAGTAAAGGAATTAGAAGACAAATATTATGTTATTTGACTTGCTCTGATAAGTGAAAATAAGATGCAAAGTTTCTAGTTGAAGATAAACTTGGTAGAGCTAATAAAATCTCAAAATTAGGTAGTAGTCCAAGGCAATGTAATAAAACTACGGAAAAGTTAAAACTCTACTAAACACGTAAATAAATGCAAATCCCTTCATGCTAAGAATTCAAATTTAACCTTGCAGAAAATAATGTATTATAAACATGTGCATGATGTAACACAAATTAGTTTCTAACTCCTATCTAGTGATTTCCCTGTGCCAGAAACTAAGGGAAACACATTTGAGTCCTTCCACAAATAATAATACTCAAAGTTCAGTGCTCTTAATGAGACGGCTTGTCATATCAGTTCACCTACCTTGGTTGCTCGGCCAAGGCAAATGAAAGCTATTTTTTTATTGCCTCTGAATCAGTAATATTAACTTTCATGTCACACAGTGCACAGGAAATCTACCCACATGCACATCTATAGTTTACATATGCATTCAAGTTTTAAAGGCTGCTGTTGAGGTCAAGAGGTTTCTGAAGTGGGCCAAGAGAATGCCTGGAGGAGATGATGAACCCAACCAGAGCCAGGAAGCATCTGCTACTGGATCCAGGTTTAAGAGCTATAAGAGCTCAGTTGAATGAGACGGAGAGCTGGAAATCGACCCAGAACAGGAAGTGGTGGGTCGACTCAGGTGAGTGAACGTGTGGACAGGCAGGCAGTTGAGTAGCAATTCCTTGGTTCTTGCCCCACAAACAAGGTATCAGATGATAGGTTGCAGTGAGGTCATGCCATCTCATTGCTATGTACCATGTCACTTTTGGGGGGTTCTAGTGAAGTAACAACACCCTTTCCTTGGGCTGTAGCGTCTGATAAGTTCTTGGGTCTGTGTTCCATGGTGTGATTTTAAGAAGCCCATGTAGGGGACATGCGTGGTACAATCCATCCAGTAAATCTATATGGTTATTGACTCCCTTTATATGCCCAGTAATATTTCATGTGATAGATGAATGGCACCGGACGGTTTCTGCTTTTACCCAGAGAAATTGAGTCAATTGAGAAATTGTAGTATGGAGTCTTACAGAGAAATACACATCCCCAAACTAAAAAACAAAACTCACAAACAAAAAAAAACTATATTATTTAATACACAGAAGTTTTTTAATAATTTAATATTTGCTAAAATTTATGAAAAAATGTACACACCTTTGAATCCATCTGTCAGAATAGCATGCAGTGGATGGGTTTTGACAGCTGATTTTTGTTTTTACACAGTTCTGGATACATAGAGATACATTTATACATAGAAGTCGTGGGAGTCTGTATCCGGTGAAGGCTCACTTCCTGCACAAGTCGAAGGCAGTCATTTCTGCTCATTCCTCACATGGGGGAAGGAGAGCTTTTCAAAGGGGTATGAGTTCCAGCAGTTGAAGACCTGACTCTCACGATACCATTTCACACAAGAAACTCTACCTTCAATAACCACGGCACTAGGGTCACTTCTTTCTTCGTACTCAGCATAAATAACTGTGCCAGTTTTGAAAAGAAGAGCGAAGCCAGGGACTATTAGAACTAGGGATGCAATCCAAAATGCAGCAGAGTATTTAGAGAGAAACAGACAAGACCACAGATTAGAAACTCAAAAACAGACCTGCATTTACGCATAAAAATGGACTGTTGGTAGGGAACACAATTGGGGAAATTGTTCAATTTATCAAGAAGATATTATGGTCATAATCAAATTCAAATTGAATTTAAAGCAGACACAATTGGTGTAACGTCAAAGGGAGATTTTTGCACAAGTGGAAGAAACTGTTAGCCAGCGCTGTGAAAATATCTGATGCTATGATTTTTAAAATGAGAGTCCAGTTCAACAAACGACGAGTTGCCTGAAGTCTACAGATTGTCACTTTTAAATTCTAAAACTCAGTTTTCAAGGAAAGATTAAAATACCCATCTAGGAACCTCTATTAGCTATTAGTCAGAGAAGCAAGTTTACAGAAGGGCAAATAAGAATGGTTATTAAGCAAATGAAGAGGTTCTCTTAACTTCACTGAGAAGTGTAATTATAGTGAAAATACAATTCTGTTCATGTTGACTAGCTGATGAATTTTATGAAAGACTATTTTTGAGCCTAGTGTGGAAGAGTACATGAATAGAGATGTTCTGTAGCTATAGCTTATGTAAGTCAGTGAAAGGAAAAGCATATGGACTTTGCAACTATGCCCAGCTAAGGATTGAAAGAAAAACACACAGGTGTGCCATGATAGACAAGTATCGAGATTTTCCTTGTAATACCTATTTTGATGTCAAGGTTGGAAGCAATCTAGCTTTTTATTTCTATGTCAATGGAAAAGTAAATCTTGAGCTGCTATGAAAGAACAGAGCATGAATAGAATTTAAAGTGTTAAGGGGAAAATTCAAGAAAGCATGTTTTTGTACTGTGTCTACAATACAAGTACATGCACTTTCTACACATACAGCATAAACTAGGTTACACATTATGTATGTGAGACAGAATTAAGGATTTGGAGGCTAAAAATCTGTCAAAATAAAATAAATTTATATGAAAAACAGATATTGCATACTTTAAAATGACTGAGTCAACTTTCTATAACCACTACCATAGAAAATAATCAATTCTGATAATATTTACTTTCAAAATAATCACTAATATTGCATTTAAAAAAATACAGCAATGGAGGTTGTTTTCCCAACCTCTCTTTTTCCAACTCAACTTCCAAAAGATTCCATGGAATGGAAGAATTTAATGGAGACATTACATTTGGGCTTTTTTTTTTTTAAATCTCACTCTCTGCATAATGGCCGGCTGAATCTCTGTATTTGTTCCCATCGATGGGGACTTTTGAATTTAGACTAACTTCATTTTTCATTGTAATATGACCACAAACCAATGGAGGCCAGGAAGAGAAATATAGTGTCTTAAATGAGAATGACCCTATGCTCATGCATTTGAATACTTGATTCCCAGTTGGTGGACTTATTTCGGAAGGATTGGGTGTGGCCTTGTTGGAGAAGGTGGGTCAACTAGGAGCCTCCTTGAGGCTTCAAAACACTCCTGCTATTTTCATTGTGCTCTCAGCTTTCTGTATATAGATTGGAATGTGAGTTCTCAGCTGCTGATCTTCTATGTCTGCTGCTATGCCATTTGCCATCATGGAATGAACGTCTATGCCTCTAAATCTGTAAGTCCCCCCAAAACCCTTCCTTCGGTTTCATACCTTATTAATGGTATTTTTACCACAGCAATAAAAGAGACACCAAGACAATACATGGACACATATATGCACATCTGACAATCACACTGTTTTTTTTGTATTTTACTTACATATTTTTTTTGAAAAAAGTTTTTATTTCACACAATATATTCTGACTATCATTTCTCCTCTATTAAAAAATGAACAAGATTCTAAGGGATAATAATAAAATAAAATAAAAATACTAACACATCAAAGTTAAATAAAAAAACAAGCCAAAGGAATAGTGCCCAAGAGAAGGCACAATAATCAGAGATTCACTATTCACATACTCAGGAATTCCATAAAAAAAAACTAAACTAGAAGCTATAATGTATACATAGAGGATACAGTAAATACCCATCAGGCCTTGTGCATACTGCTTCAGTCTCTGTGAGTTTGTAAGAGCTTTACTCATTTTGATTTAGAGGGCCTTGCTTCACATCTCTTCTGGCTCTTATGTTCTTTCCACCTCGGTTTCTGTGAGGTTCCCTGAGCTCTGAGGGGAGGAATTTGATGCAGATGTCTCTTTTAGGGCTGAGTATTCCAAGGTCTCTCACTTTGTGCATAATTTCTGACTGTGGCTCTCTGTTTGCTCCCATCTGCTGCAGGAGGAAACTTTTCTGATGATGGTTGAACTATGATCGACAAGGCATTGATCTATGAGTATAGCAGAATCTCACTAGGAATCATTTTATCACTACATCTTTTTCCTTTTAGACCAGTGTTATTAGCATTTGCCCTAGGTCCCTGGGCTATAGAGTCTCAGGTTCTCAATCACCCAAGGAGTGTCAGGTATGGGTTCCTACTCCTGGAATGGGGCTGAAGTCAGATCATTTATTGATTGGTTACTCCCACATGGGTTTGTCACCATTGTACTAGCATGTGAAGTCCGAACACCACTAAAGATCAAAGGGTTTATGGCTGGGTTTGTGTTTACATTTCTCTTTAATAGTAAACCCAGTGCCTTTCTGTAACAAAGACACTGGAACACACCAGTGTTACATCTCTATGCTCTGTGACCTGTGTAGGTGTTGTCTTTAGCCATGGGGTTTTGTTGTCAGTTTATAGATATCGACCTATTACTTCAGTAAGAACCTGAGTTGTTTGGGGTGTCCCACAGGGCCCCCTTGACCAACAAGTCCATTAAATGTAACTCAGACCTAGTATTAAAAGCTTCCTTTGGTGACATGAGATGCCCAGTTGAGTTTCTCTCTCCCCACTCTTCGATGATTTCATTTAGATTGCCTTCATATATGATTATATTTTAGGAGGTTTCTACTATATTGGGTCTCCATGCTACCCTCAAATATTCCTTATAATATTAGTTGTCTCTCCCTATAGTACATCATACCAACACCTCTCCTTTTCTTCCCCATTTGATCCTTCCATTCCAGATACCATCCCCATCTATCCATAAATATCTATCCTATTTCCATTCCCTAATGAGATCTACCCGTTCCCTCTAGTCTCTTACTCCATATCTACCTGAAAAAAGTCTCATTATTATCAGAAGGTGAGTGACATTTATAGATAAGGCAACTATGAGGGAAGAAGATTTCTTTCTTCTTTGCCCCAAAACATATCATCAAAACCTAGATCAAAATAACTTCTCAGCAATTGTCTTAGCACTGAGTAATAGCATCAGCATTGAACAACAAACAAAACAGCATGTCAAAAGAGCTGGCTTAAAAATAACATTCAGCTAGCTTTAAAAATAACACATACCTGACCCAATTACTACAAACACACTTCCAATTTGGACACCATCGTTCTCAGTACTAACTTGGAATAGTGACCATATTCTATTATTCAATGCTTCCCTGCACAGGGTAAATCTGAGTTTCACATCTATGACTGAATAAATCTGTGCAAAACAAAACTTTTTAACACTCCTGCATAGTATTCATAAATGCTAACTAGCAAAAATTATCAATATTAATTTTAAAACAAGTCAAAATTGTAAAGAACGAAATTTAATTTCAGAGTTTCCGTATTCACATTTAACAAAGCTTAAAATATGAATGAAACTTCTACAACTAAATTGAAAAACAAATCAAATAGTCCTTTTTTAAAAAATGAACTTAGCAATTGAATAGACATCTCTCGAAAGAAGATATTAATTATGGTCAACAGGTTCTCATCATCACTAACTAATCATCTCTGAACTGAAGTTAAAATCATGGCAAGACAGTATTTTACTTCTGTTAGCATTGATGGTATTTAAATTTAAGGATAACTGTGATGCTATTGAGAAAAGGAAACTTTTGTGATGACCTACATTTCCAAAACAAGTAAGAATCCTATTTCTGAGGGAAGACAAACAGACAGACAGACACACATCTAAATTGAAATCAGATACCAAGAGCTACCTGTGCATCCACAGTCACTGAAACAATATAATAGTCAAACCGTGAACCTGGATATCTATCATCACTTGAGTGACTAAAGATAGTGTGATACACATACCCAAAGGGATATTTGGATATTTTCCTTAGGAAGATAAGGAAATCCTGAATAAATAAAATAATTTAATGCTGAGTGCAATAATCCAGGCACAGAAGAACAATAGTCTATGATGCCTTTTATAGTACGAATCTAGAATACTTTGACATAGGGTCAAAGTCAAGTGAGGGTTGTCAGCCTGCAAGATATGGGGCCACAAAAGATGTTAGAATGAGAAGACAAAGTTTGAGAACTATAGATAGACAAGTCTAGCGGCCCACTGCACATATAGTGCCTATGCTAAGTCATCCTGGAGTATTTGCTTTAAACTTAAAAAAAGGGTAGTTTATATATGTTCTTATCACACACACACACACACACACACACACACACACACACACACACACTTCATATGGATATATTTATCTACAAACATATTAGGCTGTATGCATCAAGTTTTTACATAACTGTTTATAAGTCAACCACAATGTTATTTGGGTTGCAATTTAAATACAACAGCCTGTATTTAAAAATAATAACCAACCCAGATATAGTTGCAATTATTTCACTTGATTGGCAGGCTGAGGTAGGACCATCACTCACAATTTCAGGACTAATTTTGATTTTCAGGGCAAATTCCAGTGAACCACAGCTGCATAAGTGACCTTGGGTCCCAAAGACAAACGGCGGGAAAGTAAGATGGCTTTGAACGTAAAAGACCTTGCTGCTAAGCGTAATGGTGTAAGTTCTATCCCTGGGATCCATATGGTGGAAGGTGAGAACTGACTACTGAAAACTGACCTCTGATCTCCATATATGGGCCATGACATGTGTATTCACTCAGATGCAGGATAAATAAATAAATGAACT